CCCCCCCTAATGTTCCCCCATTCCGGGCATGTGACAAATGTGTGAATGGTGATGCTGACTTACATGTGTAGCTGACTGAAGACACCTGGACGGCTGGGGGGAGGGAAAAAATAACGAAAGGGGATTGAAAGAGGAAGTGGTTTCCAGTTAAGCTGTGCGCATTTTGAAAATAGGGAAACCCAGAAATAATATTGCCCCACCTCACCTCATCTCAACTCACCCCAAAGGGAGAAGTGAAATGGCTATGTTCCACACACACCACTCGGTGTACAAGCAATCAAATCCAGCGGCGGCACATAGGTTAAAAGGTGACTGCAAATGGATCACAAATGCCATCGACGTACACCTTTCACACACGATTCAAATGAACCAGTGAAACAATCAATCCACCAATCAACAAGCAACATCAACTAATCAATCAACATTTGAGATCGACCAATCAATCAATCAACATTTGAGATCGACCAATCAATCAATCAATCAATCAACATTTGAGATCAATCAAGTATATACAGGGCATGTGTACCCAACCCAAAGATCAACCAATCAATCAACGTTTGAGATCAATCAATCAATCAATCAATCACCATTTGCGACCAACCAATCAATCAACATTTGAAATCAATCAACATTTGAAATCAATCAAGTACATACAGGGCATGCATACCCGACCCAAGGAGGTGAGTGCGACTGCTACCTTCTCATCCATCTTCGTCTTCGCGTCCACGTTCCATCTTCCCCACTTGTTGTCCAAAGCGCAGGCATGATTCCCACGCACTTTTTTTCTGGCAGCTTCTCCTTCTGCCATAAACATACTAAATGCTATATGGTGTGCATAAACTGCATTACGAAAAGAAAAGAAAAGTTTACAAAACATAATCGGATAGCGCATGACGTTTGTGCTGATTGCCGGCTCGAAACAAATGATCGGGTCTCCACTTGGCATTCTCTTCAAGTGGAAAGGTCTTCACCGCATGCTCGAAACAAATGATCGGGTCTCCGCCATCTATCTTCATGGCTACCTGCCTGAGTATTTACCTTCCTGCCAGTCCTGCTGACCTGGCCAGCCACCCACCCACCGACCATGGGTATGGGTATCACCAAACCATCTGCCGTCCGCTAACCCGGCATCTTCCCATGAATTGAAACACACACGCAGAAATGCTCCCTGAGTCCCCGTCAGTGCCATCAGGTGACATTGGACACCAACAACCACCGCAGAATCTGTGCAAGCGCACCCTATTACGGCTGAGCAGGCAGGCGTACACATCTTCCCTAGTACTGGCGATAACCCCGAGTCCGTCTTCGTATCGATGGCCGTGCTTGCCATCCTAGCTGGCAATGGCTTCTGCAACATTCCCCACCCGATCGTATACATTGTGTTGTTGACGAGAGCCTTCATCCTTCACACAACAACACCATGATAAATCCCTGCCATGTTCACCTCCACATCCCTATTATTAATTCCATGCGGTACCCACAACGCTTAGACATCTTCCCTTGTACTAGTGAAACCCCCGAGTCCGCCTTCATGTGGATGGCTGTCCCTGCCATCCTAGCTGGCAATGGCTTATTGTTACATCTTCGATGCCACACGGGTCCTGCCGGACTCGACTTAGGGCCAGAGGGACACAGTAGGGCTTAAAGGCCCGGACTTGGGGTACAGCATGCCGTAAAGGCCACGTTTTTGGACCAGACCGACGGGCAGGCCCAAACGACATTCTCGTTTTGGGCCTGGCAGTGCTTTTGAGCAGGCCGCCCGCCAATCTGATCTGAACTGTCGATCTCGACGGTTCAGGTCACGGCCAGGCCTCGCAGCATTGAGGCCGGCCTCTTGGCCACCCGTAAGTACCGGTATAAGTACCGGAGGCCAAGAGGCCGGCCTCAATGCTGCGAGGCCTGGCCGTGACCTGAACCGTCGGCGGGCGGCCTGCTCAAAAGCACCGCCAGGCCCAAAACGAGAATGTCGTTTGGGCCTGCCCGTCGGTCTGGTCCAGCCCTACTGTGTCCCTCTGGGCCTAAGTCGGGTCCGGTAGGACCCGTGTGGCATCGAAGATGTAACACACTCCCCCTCTTACATCGAAGATGTAACACTTATGTAACATTCTCCACCAGACCGTACACGTTGTGTTGTTGACGAGAGCCTTCATCCTTCACACAACACCACCACGGTAGATCTTTGCCGTGTCCACCTCCATATCCCTATCATCAATCCCATGTGGTCCCCACAACACTCGTCCCTATCCTGCTGCGGTTAGCTATCTGTTGAAGGAAGGCCAGGCAAGACTTCCTCCAAAGTACCTAGAGACATGTGCGCCTCTCTCTCTCTCTCTCGCCACATGGTCAGCCGAGAGACAGATGCCAGCAGCTAAACGTACACATCTTTCTTTCCGCAAACCCCTCAGTGCGTGCTATACCGTCATGCTCGCCTGCACGCCATCTCTATTAGACAAAACGGAAAAAAGAAAGAGCAAAAGATAAGCAACAGCGTCTCATTCCTCCTTCAAGACAGGCAAGGGTAATAATCACTGCCACCAGAAAGAAAGAACTTGTTTTCCCTGTGCATCATGTGATCAAAAGCCTCCTGCATCTCGACCGAAAGACTCTGCGAACAGGCAGTCGTACACACGCTTTTTCGCCTCTACTCCTTCCCCTATTGTCATCCTTTACGCTGGGGTATCATCGTCCCCAACCCCCACACACCAAATATCAAGAACCAGAAGAACAACAGCACAGCCCAGTACTTTGTTGGTCCACTTTGTATGCGAGGGAGCACCACCTGCACATCAGCGAAAGAACAAAGAGCTTGATGTTTAGAACCAGCTGGAAGGAAGAGAAAATAGATAAGAGGAGAGGAGAGGAGAGGAGAGGAGAGGAGAGGAGAGGAGAGGAGAGGAGAGAAGAGGAGAGGAGAAGGGGTAGCAAAGAGGGAAAAGGAGGAGAAAATAGAGACCTGCACATCAGCGAAAGAACAAGAGCTTGATGTTTAGAACCAGCTGGAATGCAAGACAAAAGAAGAGAAAATAGATAAGAGGAGAGGAGAGGAGAGGAGAGGAGAGAAGAGGAGAAGGGTAGCAAAGAGAGAAAAGGAGGAGAAAATAGAGAGAGGAGAGAAGGAAGCGTGAAAGAGGCGAGAGAAATGTCCCCCAGAGGGAAGAGATGGGAAGGATGAGGCATGTGAGTGCAGATGGTATGGAGGACTTATTGGCCAGGGTGGTGATTCGAGGTGGAGTCGTCATTGAAACCCAAGAGAATGCACCCATCAACAGAGCTAAGCCTGTCTTAGCCTCTGCTTAAGTCCTAAGAATTGATACACCCATCAACAGAACAGTGCCTGCTAAGGTTATCACAACCTTGTGACCTGTAAAAGTTAACCCCCCCTTCCCCCCCCCCCCCCAAAAAAAAACAAAAAAAAACCCCCAAAAAAAC